AGACTCCATCAGACGCTCCCTCTGCTGGAGAAGGAGGGGCAATCTCCTCCTGGGATCCGACAGTACACAACAAAAGGGAGGGAAAACAAACAAACAAACAAAAACAAAACAAAACAAAATAAATTTAAGGAGTGGGTAAAGGAAATAGGAAAGATCTGGTGTGAAAAACAACGTATATGAACTTTGCAAGTCAACCAACATTAAAAAAAAATATTTAAGTAAAAAAAAAAGGACATTTAAATCACTGCTATCTAATTATTTCCAATTGACAGTAACCCTGGAAGACAGAGTTAGAACTGCCCCGTTGTATTTTCAAGGCTGTGTAAATCTGAAGGAAGCCGTCCACAGAGAGGTTGCTGGATTCAAACCACCAATCTTTTAGTTAGCAGCTCAGTATTCAAATCCACCACACTCCCAGGAACCCCTAGCGTGCAATTCAGCTCTGTCGCATGAGGTCGTTATGAGCTGGAAGGGTAAGGGGTGTGTGTGTGTCTGTGGACATCGCGACCACCTGTCCTGCCCAGCGGTGGCCGTCCAGGGTGGATGTCACTTCCCATGTGACAAGAGCATTGCAATGGACATCGTGACCCTGGAGCTAAGCTGACCATTCCTCGCCTCTGCACCCAGGAGCAGGCGTGAAGCGGTGAGAACACAATTCCCCTCACGCCTCCCCGATGGCAGCAGAGACAGAAAACCGGTTCTGCTTCCAGCTTCTCGCCGCCCGCCACCTGGACCCGAGGCTTTGGGGATTTTAAGCTGAGGAATGCATACCCTTTGTTTTCCATTCATTCTGAGAATTCCTTCTTAGGGAACATATTAGCCCCTTGACTCGCCGCCTGGCTGAGGAATGGAGGAAGAGGAAAAAGACGTGAGGATTAATATCTCAAATAACACTCTGGCTGGTATTTAGAACTGTGGGGCCTGGGAAAATTAACCCTGGCGGCTCCAGGCCTAGGCAGAAGCTCCCACGTGTGGGCGAGAGAATGTCATCTGGGCGTGATCACCCTCTTGTGGTCAAATGGCCTCATAACCCTGAGGGATCTTCCTCCGCTTGAGAGGCAGTTTGAGGCTTGATACTAGGTGGAGCTGCTAACGTAAAGCTTGGCAGTTCGAATCCACCATGCGCTGAGCAGAAGACAGGTAAGCATGTAGTGTCAGAAACCCCTAAAAAGTCAGTCTGACTAGCATCCCCGCTGTCGCTGCGGTGAGAGGAAGGGACGCCGTGGCCGTGGCCGCGTGGATCTCCAGTGTCCACAAACCAAAACAGGTGACCAGAGGTTTTTCTGGTGGAGTTCAGACAGTAACTTTAATTCCAGGAGATGGCATTGGCCCAGAAATCTCCGCTGCAGTTATGAAGATCTTTGATACTATCAAAGCACCTATTCAAGGGGAGGAGCTGAATGTCATTGCCATCCAACGACCAGAGGAAAGTGGATGATCCCTCCAGAGGCCAAAGAGTCCATGTAGGGGAGCTCTGGTGGCCTAGTGGCAAGAAGCTGCATTGCAATCCCAGAGACTCATGGTTCGAATCCACCAGATGCTCTGCCGGGGAAGGAGGGACAATCTCCTCCTGGACCAGTGAGATCTGATTTGACGGTACAGACACACACAAATAAAAAATAAATAAATAAAAAAGAGTCCATGTAAATTTTCATTGGAATTAATAATAAATTTTAAAAAAGGAAAAAATATTATTATGCGTGTGTGTACCGTCGAATCAGATCCGGCTGGTCCAGGAGGAGATTGCCTCTCCTTCCATAGTAGAGCATATGGTGGATTCGAACCAAGGGCCTTCAGGATAGCAGCGCAGCTTCTTGCCCCTAGGCCATTTCTGTTCTTTAAAGCCTCCTGTCTGTGGTCTTTCTGTTACAGGAGTAGTAAGTAATCAAGATTGGCACAAAGAGCTTGTACTTCGCTGCTAACTTAAAGGTTGGCAGTTAAAATCCATCCAGCAGTACCACAGAAGAAAGGCCTGGCAAACAGCTTCTCTTAAGATTGCAGCCAAGAAAACTCAAAGGTGAGCAGTACGCTGCTTATTAAGAAGAAATGCACAAATATTTCTCAAATAACTGAATGCATATCCCTCGAGGGTAGGGACGATGTGCTTTTCTCAGTCCTCTCCTTGGCATTTCCCACGGGGCCTGGCACATAGTAGGTGCTCAGAAAATATTTGTTGAATAAATTAATTTAAGTCCCATGTGGCTGGAAAGGAGATTTTTTTTAATTTTTTTTATTAATTGTAATGAAAGTTTACAGAGACTTAGGGTTTCCAGTCATTCACTGTTACACTTTACTCCCTGCCCACCCCCTCCCCCAATTCACTCCTCTCCTTGAAAAGTAAAACTCTTTCATTGTTATGCAATCCATCCCCCCAAGTCCACTCCACTGTGCAGCCTTCATTCTGGACTCTTGTCATGACAAGAATACCCAATCATACATCCCTTTTAAACAGTTCTCTTCCTCATCTATTTCAATGCGGTATACATCATTCCTCCCCTCCTTCTCTGCCTTCCTTCAACCCTGATGTCAGTCCCATTTTACAACAGTAGCCCTATGCAATATTTGTCCTTCTGTGACTGAGCTATTTCACGCAGCATAATGTCCTCCAGAGTCATCCATTTTGCATAATATTTCATTAGTTCCTTATTTTTCAATGCTGCATAGTATTCCATTGTGTGAATATACCAGAGCTTCTCTATCCATTATGGAGATTAAAAAAAAATCATTGTGAGGTGAGTGAAAGTTGACAGAGCAAATTGTTGTCATTCAACAATTCACACACCTTCAGAGTCCTAACACGGATTACAATCCCCACAATGTAGCAGCACTCTTGCCAATTCCTCCTTCTGTTTCTGGTTTCCATTCTTCTCGGTTTCCATCCCTTCTTGTTTTCTGAGCTGTATCCAGGGGCAAAACATACTCTTTAGACTTCAATATGGTTGAGGGTGCGAGAGAGTGAAAGGAGGAAGTTTCTCCCTGGTGTAACTGCATGGCACACAAAGTGGGTAGGCGCTCAGCGCATAGGAGAATCTGGAGAAGGGGAATGGGTCCTTGGCCACGCCCCTCCAGGACGTCATAAAGCCCCTTGTGACGTCACAAAGGCTGGCACCATGCCTCTGTCCTTGGCCGTCGTGCTGTGGTTGGGGCTGAGCACCCACAGCGCCCACAGCTGCTTGCAATGCAGCCCGGAGGTGCAGGAGGCCCTGAGCAAACTGCGCTTCGCCCTGGTCCCTTCCCGCTTCGACCAGGAACGGACACAGGCTCGGGCCCAGTCCCTGCTCTTGGGCATGGAGGGGCCTTTCTTCCGCGACTACGCGCACTACGCGTTCGTGGGGAAAGTGGGTGCGTGGAGGGCAGAGGAGAAGTGGAGGCCAGCCCGAGGTTGGTGTTGGGAGGTTGGTCTTGGGCTGGGCCAGGTTTGGAAGATGATGCGGGGGGGGTGGTGTCACTGACCGTATGGTCCATTGGAACCGCTCCTCCTCTGTTGTCGCCAGATTCAGCCAGTATGAATTATGTGGAAAACTTTGTGATTAATCAAACAAAGACCTTCATGGATAATTCTATAAGAGGTAGGAACTAAGAGAGAAACTGCTTTCTGAGAGAGAGAGAGACAGAGAGAGAGAGAGAGAGAGAGAGAGAGAGAGACTGACTTCCTGTCTTCACTGACCAACTGGCCAACCAACTTATGTCCATGAAGTCTATTTTTTTTTATTATTATTATTATTTTGTGCTTGTGTACCGTCAAATCAGATCTGACTGGTACAGGAGGAGATTGTCCCTTCTTCTCCAGCAGAGCATCTGGTGGATTTGAACCATGTTCCTCTGGGATTGCAGTGCAGCTTCTTGCCACTAGGCCACCAGAGCTCCCTTCATGGAGTCTATTCTATAGCGACCGTCCAGCAGGCTTCCCAGGAGAAGGGGAGGCTGTCCGTCTCTGTCTCCAGTGGATTCGAACTGTCAGCTTTTCCATTAGCATCTCAACAGATAACCACACTACCTCACCAGAGCTGCTCTCATTCATCCAGGTGGAATTGATTATGGTTTGCATTGTACAGAGAGGGAAACTGAGGCATAGACAGATTAAGTGGCATGCCCAGAGTCACATGTTGAGTTGAGGATTCAAACCCAGGACTTTTGGCGCAGAAATGGTGTGCATAACCACTACCGTGCACTGAGTAACCTGGAATGTAGCAATTGACGCTTTTAGTGTGGATTGAGTCTTATCTCTCCCAAACACGTGTTGCAAATCCTGTCATCCTCAGAGGGTGTCCTTGCTCCCTTTGGGTGATTTTTATGTGTGTTGGTATCTCTCTTATTTTGGCTTTTTTCTCTTGGTCTATTTCAATCACTTGCTGTACAGAGGTAACTCGTGGTTGCCGTGAAGCTGAACACTGTGTGTGACACTGATGTGTCTGTCAAATGCGATAGTGGTCACCCATGGTGGACAGTGTTTGGGTGGAGCTCCCCGATTAAAACAAGCTTGGAAGCAGGAGTGGCATCGACTTCCACAATAGCTTGCCTCTGGAAACCCTATGAACCTGGAGAAAGGGCCAAAGTCTCACAGGTGTCCAGGATTTTCGCCTACAACTCATTGACACTTAACAACAACACAACAACAACATTTCTTTTTTTAAATTTTTTTTTTATGTGTGTACCATCAAATTGGATCTGACTGGTACAGGAGGCGATTGTTCCTCCTTCTTCAGCAGAGCATCTGGTGGATTTGAACTGCGCACTTCTGAGATTGCAGTGCAGTTTCCTGCCACTAGGCCACCAGAGCTCGCCACAACAACATTTCAATCTCTAAGTCTACTCTAAGTGTGCTCGGCTGTACATAGAGTTTTCAAAGGCCAGAGAAGTGAATGGTCAATCCTCCTTCCTAGTCTGTCTTAATTTTGAAGTTCACTGTTAGAAGACTATCTGACAGACAAACATTTACCTATGAGATGAAAGACATTTCCCTTACAGAAATAACCAATACATTCACTGTCCACCCATGTGTAACTTGTCTCTACCCTTTCCCTGCCCACTGAAAGCACCATAATAGATGGAGAAGAGATTGAGGTTGCTAGCAATTACAGCTTGCCCAGATCCACAATCAACACCAGCAGTCAGAAAATCAAAAGACGAATTGCATTTGGGAAAAATCTGCTGTCATGGACCTCTCCAGAGTGCTGAAGAGCAACGATGTCAGTCTAGATACAAAGGTGTGCCTAATCCAGACCATGGTCTTCTCAGTTACTTGTTATGCTTCAGAGAGTTGGACAATGACTAAGGAGGACAGAAGAAGAATAGATGCCTTCGAGTTGTGGGGCTGGAGAAGAGTCCTGCACATACCATGGACTGCCAAGAAAACAAATCAGTCTGTCCTGGAGAGGGTGAAACCAAGTCTCTCCTTGGAGGCTAGGGTTTTGAAGCTCTGCTTCACTTCCTTTGGGTACAAGGCCAGGAGAGACTGGTCCTTGGAGAAGGATTTTATGCTTGAAAGGGTGGACAGACAGCGCAGGAGAGGGAGATCCCAGAGGAGATGGATTGATAAAGTAACTGGGGTGATGAGGGTTGGTGTGTCAGAATTAGTGAGACTGGCTCAGGACAGGGAAGGGTTCAGAGCTGCTGTACACAGGGTCACTATGCATTGCAGGCGACTCAACCAATAACATTCCATGTCAGGTTTGGAAGCAGGAATGGCATGCACTTTCTAAACAACATGCCTCTGGGAATTCTATGAACTTTTATAAATATCAATAATTGTTGAGGGGCTTCAGTCCTTTTGTTCATAGGGTCGCTACGAGTCGTGCTCGACTTTAAGGCAATCAACAACTACAATTTCAATCTCTGTGATATCTCCAAAGAAATTGACTTGAAACACACCCTATTTGGAAGTTCTGGTAGGTCCATAGATGCTGAAGGCATCAAGGACCTTAATCCAGAACCGTCAGACGGAAGGAAAGTTTCACCTTTGAGCTGACACCGTGAATTTGGACTGCCAGCTTCATAAATTGTTGAGAAGATGAAATTCTGTTTGTTAAAGCCATCCATCTGCGTTACCTGTTACAAAAGTGCTAGATAACCAAGACATAGACCCTCAAGTTGATCTTGACTCATAATGACTCCTGTCTTATGGAGTAGAGTGGTAAACAAATCTCATCTTGGAAGAAGTACCACCAGAGTGTTCCTTATGGAAGATGGGGAGACTTTGTCTCATGTATTCTGGGGCATGTTATCAGACTGGGAGGAGAATATTCCATGAGATGAGGAGGGCAGAGGCATTTCTAAGATGCCAGTTATTAGAAGCTGAAAGGTACAGAAGAAAGAAAATTCTTTCGCCAGAACTGAATCACTGAATCCTGATTTCTAGATTTCTCAACTATGAGGGGAGTAGGGGAAGTTTTTGAATTCTAGAAGTCAGGGTATTTTGTTGTTGTTGTTGTTAGGAGCTGTCAAGTCACCTGCAACTCATAGCAACCTCGTGTACAACAGCCCTAAACCCTGCTCTATCCTGTACCAATCTCATTGTCTCTGACACACCTACCCCCATTACCCCAGTCTCTGAATCAATACATCTCATCGAGGATCTTCCTCTCCTGTGCTGTCCCTCCACCCTTGCAAGCATGAAATCCCTCTCCAAGGTCTGGTCCCTCCTGGAAACATGTCCAAAGTATGTCAGACAAAACTTCAGAATCCTTGCCTCCAAGGAGCAGCCTGGCTTCACCCTCTCCAGGACGAACCTGTTCATTTTCTTAACAGTCCATGGTATATTCAATACTCTTCTCCAACACTAAAACTCAAAGGCATCAATTCTCCTTCTATCATCCCTAGTCACTGTCCAGCTCTCTGATGCATAGCAAATGATTGCAAAGACCGTGGCATGTATCAGGCGCACCTTAGTCTCCAGACTGACATCGTTGCTCTTCAGTACCTATGTTTGTTATGGTAGCGCTGGAAAATCAAGACACTTGGTAGATGAAGAAATTGTAGATGGAACGTGCTTGCTGGGGCGCCCCTACCCCATGAGGATCTCTTTGTCTCCTCAGATGAGTCCTTGTTGGAACAGCTGGTGACGTTTCGGCGAGATGTGCTCAAGGAACTCAAGAAAGTTCTGAAAGACTATCAAGTAAAAGGTGCAGCGCCAGCTCTCCCCAGAGCCCTCCCCGTGGGTCCCTAGAATCCCTTTCTCTCTCAGGTTGCTCCTCCACTCTCTGCTTTCTTTATCACTCCTCGTTTTTCCCTTTCCTCTCCCACACATCCTTTCACTCCCCCCTTCTCTCCCTAATTAAATTCCCAAATTGCTGCCTCAACCAGTAACTCACCTCAGCTCTTTTTTTTCCTCTTGCAGCCTGTCACCCCAGAATGTGCAGTGAGTTTATTAAATTATTGCATTTATTATCTCCCCCTCCTTTGCCTACTCTCCTAGACCTGTCCCCCAAATTCAGTGGTTCCCCTATTCCAAAATCCTAGGACCCAGGGATAACTACTTTTGAGAGTCTATTCTATGAAGGTGATTTCTAATTTCACAAGATTTTTTTTTGGGGGGGCGGGGATGTGTAAGGGAAATAGCTCTGGTGGCTTAGTGGCAAGAAGCTGCGCTGCAATCTCGAAGGCACGCGGTTCGAGGCCATCAGCTGCTCTGCGGGACAAGGATGGACAGTCTCCTCCCATGTGATTAACTGCTGAAAGGCTGCTGGAGGGAGGGTTAGCTGTGTGTCAGTTCTAATTCACAATAAGGAGAATAGGGTAGGTTTACTGTAGTGACCAACCCGCCCCTATATCTCCGAGGTTCAGCACAACAGAGGTGTCTTTTTCCTTCACGTAAATTCCATAATGAGTTAAGAGCCTCGAGCGGTCCAGCTTGTTCTCATTTTCTTGCTCGGAAAAGAATTGTTGTTGTTGTTGTTATGTGCCGTCGAGTCGCCTGCGACTCATAGCGACCCTATGTACAACAGTCCTAAACTCCGCTCTGTCCTGCGCCAATCGCACTGTCTCTGATACTCCCCTCCCATCCCAATTATCCCAGTCACTGAATCAATCCACCTCATAGAGGGCCTTCCTCTCCTGCGCCGTCCCTCTACCCTCCCAAGCATGATGTCTCTCTCCAAGGACCGGTCTCGGTCTCTCCTCACTACATGTCCGAAGTAAGTTAGACGGAGCCTCAGAATCCTTGCCTCCAAGGAGCCACCCGGTTTAACCCTTTCCAGGACAAATCTGTTTGTTTTCCTAGCAGTCCATGGTATTCTCAATTCTCTTCTCCAGCACCACAGCTCAAAGGCATCAGTTCTCCTTCTATCCTCCTTGATCATTGTCCAACTCTCTGATGCATAACAGGTGATTGCGAAGACTATGGCCTGTATCAGATGCACCTTAGTCTCCAGAGAGACACCACTGCTCTTCAGCACTTTGGAGAGGTCCCTAACAGCAGACTTTCCCATGGCAATGCGCCTTTTAATTTCCTGGCTGCTGGTGCCAAGACTGTTGACTATGGAGCCAAGCAGACTAAAGCTGTGTACAATCTCAATCTCTTCACCATCCATCCTGATGCTGCCGATTGGTCCAGTGGTGAGAATCTTTGTCTTCTTGACATTGAGCCTCAATGCGGAAAAGAATAGAGATTAGCAAATCACGTGGGTTACTTTGCTCACTTGCTATTGGCTAGAGCTCAGTCACATGGTTACAACCTCCTGCAAGGGTGCCTGGGAATTGTAGTCTTTTTGTGTGTACAGCTGAGCTGACAGATGAGTTCGTATTTAGCCTGTCTTAGCCACAGGGGGCGCCAAGGTAGCAGTTCACCTACTAGTCACCTCTAACTGCTTGCAACCCTGGGTGGGTCAGTAAAACTGCACTCTGCAGAGTCTTCAATGGCTGTGAGCCTTCAGAAGTAGATCGCCAGCCCTTTCTTCTGAGATACTTCTGGGTGGGCTGGAACTAGCAACTGTTTGCATCATCCAGGGACTCCAAAATCGAAATGCTGCTGCTGCTGTTGTTAAGTGCCTTCGAGTCCCTTGTGATTCATAGCGACCCCATGCACAACATCTCTGAAGCCTGCTCTGTCCTGTGCCAACCTCATTGTCTCTGACACAGCCATCTCATTAACCCAGGCACTGAGTCAATCCATCTCATTCAGAGTCTTCCTCTCTTGTGCTGTCCCTTCACCCTTCCAAGCATGATGCCCATCTCCAAAGACTGGTCCCTTCTTGCAACATGCCCAAAGTATGTCAGTCGGAGCTTCAGAACCTTTGGCTCCAAGGAGCAGCTTGGTTTCATCCTCTCTAGGATAAACCTGTTGGTTGCTAGTGCAAAAGAAAATGAACCAATGCTTCCTTATCTACAAATAGAAGGTTGGGTCCACTGGACAATCACGACTCAATTCAACTCCTTATTAATGCCATCAGAATGACTTCTAAAGTGAATTTGGCTCCGTTTTTTTCTGTGGTGTCTAAAATGCTTAAAACCTGTTCCTGCCCAGTAGATTCAGGCTCATTTTGAAAAACCTCCCACCTCATGTATTAGAGTAGAACTGGACCCATGGGGCTTTCAGGAGCTGATTTTTTTCAAAGTAAGTAACCAAGTCTTTCTTCCATGGAACCTCAGGGTGGCCTAGAACCACCTAGCTTTTCTTTTTTTAAAAAAATATTTTATTAATTTTAATGAACATTTACAGAGATTTTGGATTTCCATCCATTCATTGTTGCATTATTTTCTCTACCCCCCCCCAGTTCATTCCTCTTTTTTCCCCCCTTGAGAGTCTGTTTTAATTGTCCCAATGCCACAGTGCTTGTCAAAACCAGTTCTGATTAATCTCCTTTGTCAGTGTGTCCTTTGCCATTCCCTATCACTCCTCCCTGAGAGAGACTTCACCCTGGTTCATAAGGAAAAGGGGATGGCGTATTCTCTTAGCTACTTCCTGCTGAAAAGGGACACTGTAGGTTTCAGGGTGAAGATCTTCTCTCACTTCTCTAAAGGGCCCCTTTGGCAATAGGAAACATGTAGACTATTGTGGAGATTGATTTTGGAATTTAGATGCACTGTTATCAATTGTGCTTAGCCAATGCATCTTCATATCCTTGAAGATGCATCATGGAACTGTTGCAGCCTAGAAGACACTGATTTAACTAACAAGTTAAAAGGACATGAGTCAAAAATTAAAAGCAATAATATTCCAAGTAGAGGTTCTGACAGTGGCGCAAATCAAGTTACAGAGGGAAGGTCACCTAGCTTTTCTTTAGTTGCTGAGATAATGGTTTGCATCAGTCAGGAATCCAGGGATGGATGGGGTATCCAAGATGAGTAGGGCTGAGGGAGCCCATTATAGTTTTCTTCTGTTCCTCCCACCCCTTGACCATTCTGAGCACTGACCTCGTATTTCTTTGTCTAGGCACTTTAAAAGAAGCGGTCTTAGATTGTTTGCTCTGTCAGACAGTCGTTCCAGAATGTGTCAAGTCTGATTACTGCTTCGGTAAGGTCCTTGAGAATAAAGGAGCCACAGGGCAAGTGCACAAGAGAAGGCAGCCCTCCCCCAGGGAATATGGACTTCGAAGTCTTTCAGGTGTAGGAATCTTGTCCTTTCAGTTTGGTTGGGTCCAGAAATTACTTTCCCATTCTTCAAATGCCCCGTCCTCCGTTAAATGGTAAGACTTTTCCTTACCTTTGCAGCCTCCCCGATGACAGAGCTAGAAGCCCGGGTGGTGCCGTGGTAAAAGAATGCAGCTACTAACCAAAAGATCAACAGTTCCAATCCCCTGGCTTCCGTAAAGATTTACTGCATTAGAAACTTGGTTGAGAGTCACCCAGAGTCCGAGGTGACTTGATGGCGGTGGGTTTGGCTTCGCTAGTCTGTAAAGTGTGCAATAATAGCATTTTGGAAAAGTCTGAAATATTCTGAGAGTTACCAAAATGAGACGCGAAGCAAACTTTGCACTATGGACTGGCTAGATGCTAACAACAATAAAAACGCCCAAACCCACTGCTGGCAGGTCAATTCTGATTGGTGCGGACCCTCAATCAGATTTCTACCCACCTTTCAGTTAGCGACTCAAGCAAATGAGCTTTAGGGAGCTCCAGTGGTCTAGCGGCAAGAAGCTGCACTGCAATCCCAGAGGTGTGCGGTTCAAATCCACCAGATGCTGTTGGAGAAGGAGGGGCATTCTCCTCCTGTACCAGTCAGATCCGATTTGACGGTACACAAGCAAAAAAAAAAAAAGAGAGAGAGAGAGAGAATATTAGAATTATTTAAAAAATTAACACACACACACATGATTTGTCTGTACTTGAGGGATGTGATTTGCATCTTTGGTCACAGGCCATATTTCTCCTTTTTTGTTATGGCAAGAAACTGCCCATATTTCTCCCACAGACCGGCTGGAAGGTTTGAACCGCCAGCCTACTGGTTAGCAGTCTGACATGCTACAGTGCTATGCAGGGCAGGGCTTCTTCAAATCCCAGAAGATCCAAGGATTTTTGTAACACCCAGAAAGGAGCAGGGCAGAGCAGTAACACCCCACCCCGGGCTGCAGAGGGTACAGTGAGGGTAAGGGCAGAAGGACAAGGAAGGGCAGTCACTCTGCGGTCTCTCCTCACCCCTCAGTGAACCGGCAGCCGCGTATAGCCCTGAAGTACAACAGCCACAGTGAGCACGTGAACGATCAGGCCAAATTTGGCATCATCGTCTCCGTGTGCCTGGCTGTCTTCCTCTTCTTGGTTCTCGTGTTCTCGTGAGTCGCCCCAAAATGCTCCCCCTGAACCCCTCAAAAATGACACCTCCCTGGATCCGTCACTATCCCCTCACCATCTCTGCTTCCCTCCCCTTTGTCTTGGTCTGTAGTCCCTGGGTGCTGGAAGTGGTGAATGCGCTTATCTGCTCACCACAGGTTACAGGTTCAAGTCCACTTGATGCCTCAGAAGAAAAGCTTGTCAACTTTCTAGGGGGAGAGGGGGGAAATCTGTCTATAAGAACCCTGTGGCATACAGTATGCCTCTGACACACCTAGGGTCCTCGTGGGTCAGAATTTACTTGATGACAGTGAGTTTGCTTGATGGTGTTTTTGGTTTGTTTTCTGCAATGACCATGTCTCCCATTCCTGAATGATGGGTATGGTTAAGTGCTTGGTTAGAGGTGCAGGCCCACCTCGAGGTGCATTGGAAGAAAGGCCTGGCACGCTGTTTCTGATAAAGCAGTTGTCCAACACGCTATGGAGCACAGTTCTCTAGAAACGCCATAAATCATTGAGTCAACTCAGTGGTGATCAGTTTGAGCTTCTCCTGTCTGTTTCTCTCTTCCACTCTTCATTATTTTCATACATATGCATTGCATTTTTCTTCCTTTTTTTTTCTTGTTGTGTGCCATGTGGAATCGGATCTGACTGGCACAGGAGGAGATTGCCCCTCCTTATGCAGCGGAGCATCTGGTGGATTCGAACCGCGTACCTTCAGGATTGCAGCACAGATTCTTGCCACGAGGCCACCAGAGCTCCCCTCTCTTCATTTTTGTGCTTTCTGTCCCTCCGTTCCAGATCTCTGGTAGCATAGTAAGATTATCTGTTCAGCTGCTAACTGACAGGTTGATGGTTCGGAGCCACAAGCCTATCCATGAGAGTTTGCTTCTATAAAGATTTACAGCGTCAGAAACCCTATGAGACACTTCTGCTCTGTCCTAAAAGGTCACTGTGTCCACTCAATGACAAGTCTTTAAGAAAGCAGATCACCAGGTTAAGGCTTCTGCAGGGCACCTGGTGAATTAGAGCCGCTGGCCTTTTGGTGCGCCATTAAGGGGCTCCTTGGAAAAGAGACAGATGTTGGGCCAGAGGCTACCGAGGAGGGAAGGTGGAATAGAACAAGGTGCAGAGATTCAAGAGTGAGATGCAGAGATTCGCAGAGATTCCGAGAGATTCCGAGAGCGAGCGCGAGATGCAGGGGTGAGATTCACATAGAGGAGGGTGGGTTCTCTCTTGCAAAGCCTCTAACAATCGACCTTTCAGCTAAGCCCTTAACCACTGTACCATCAGGTACAGGTACTAAAAGTCATTGCCGTTGAGTCTATTCCAACTCATTGCGGGTCCTCCATCTGGTGTCTAAGGCTTTCTATCTTTATGGGTGCAGACAACTATGTCACTTTCCTGCAAAACCTTAGGTGAATTCGAACTTCTGACTTTCTCATTAACAGTGCAAGCCATAACCAATTTCCACCACCCAGGCTGCTTCCCAGTCCGCACTTTTCTAACCCCGCCTCCCTCTCCAAACACCCTTACTGATTGGCTAAAGACCCTAGAAGTCTGCCTAGGAACCGATGGTATCACTTGCACTTCTCGAGAGACTGAGCGGAACTAAGTCACTGATTGGGTGGGAAGAGTGGGTGGGCGGGCTGGCTGATGGGGAAGAGCCAGAAATTAGCGTGTAACTTCTGTGTTCTTTTTTCTTTTTTAAAAAACATTTTTATTATTATTAATTTTAATGAAAGTTAACAAAAACTTTGAATTTTCATTCATTGTTGCACTTTTCTCCCTGCCCAACCTTCCCCCTGTATTCTTTTTTTTCTGACCAGGGCTTGTATGTACAGGCAGAATCGAAAGCTCCTGCTGCAATAGGGATGTGGATTTGCGGATGTGGATGAGTATATTTTGATAATAAAAGTCTTTGACAAACTCCTCCGTGTCTCTTGGCTTCTTGGGGACACCTTCTCAAGAGAAGCAAAATCAATGAAGTTTCTGCTTGTACATTTAAAGAGTTTTCTCTCAAGGAAACAGCTCATGAGTTTTCAGACTCTGACATGTCCCAGGTCTCTGGGTCAGATGTCAGACTAGAGGCTTCTCCTGACTCACGTAGCTTCGGGGCTGACAATCGCAAAGGCAGCTTCTGGCTTAGAGAATCAGGCAAGGCAAACCCCTGACTCCCAAAGTACTGGAGGTCAGATAATGATGAGCAAAGTAGAAAACTCAGATACAGCAAAACCCATGTTGTTGTTGTTGTCATGTGCCATCGAGTCGCTTGCAACTCATAGCAAGCGACTCTATGTACAAGAACCCTAAACACCGTTCTATCCTGTGCCAACCTCGCCTTCTCAAACACACTCATTCCCACCACTCCACTCACAGAATCGATCCATCTCATCGAGCGTCTTCCTCTCCTGCACCGTTGTGAGGGACCTCTCAAGAGTACTGAAGTGCAACGACGTCAGGCTGGAGACTAAGGTGCGCCTGATCCGGGCTATAGTCTTTGCAATTAAGTGCTATGCATCAGAGAGTTGCACAGTAAATAGAGATGATAGAAACAGAATTGATGCCTGTGAGCTGTGGTGCTGGAGAAGAGTGTTAAATATACCATGGACTGCGAGGAGAACAAACAGGTTTGTCCTGGAGAGAGGGTGAAGCCAGAATGTTCCCTGGAGTCAAGGATTCTGAAGCTTCGTCTGACATACTTTGGGAATGCTGCAAGGAGGGACAACTGGTCCTTGGAGAGGGACATCATGTTTGGGAGAGTGGAGGGACCACGCAGGAGAAAACGCATGAGACTGGAAAAAACTGACCCTGTAGCAGGTTTTCAGAGGCATTAAATCCCACAAGAGGAGATTACCCATCTTCCTCCCTCAGGAAGCAGCTGGTGGGTTCGAACCAGCTTTTATATGAGAGAGAGGGGAAGAGAGAGAGAGTTTGTGTGTGTGTTAGGTCACTCTCCATGAAACACCCTTTCAACTTGTAAGCTACTCTTGTGTATCTTCAAGTCAGAACTGACCCTCCAGTGGGGTTTCAGAGACTGTAAATTGCACAGAGGAGATTTCCCGTCTTTCAAGGAGCCAGCTGGTGATTCGAACTGCCTATCTTTGCGTTGGCATTGCAATTCTTTACCACTAAGCCACCAAAGCTACCTGATGTCTATTCATAGTAGATCTCTTATAGAAGGGATTACATTTGATCAGTTCTTTCCTGGAGAATGATCACATCTTACCAGCTCATTATGGAGTGATTACATTATATTGGATTTCATCAAGGGGAAAAAAGACTATCTATCTATCTATCTATCTATACATATATACATATGTATATGTATATATATATATATGTGTGTGTGTGTGTATACACACACACACACACACACGTTGGACAATGAACAAGGAACAACAAAAGCAAGCAATGCTTTTAAACTGTGGTTTTGGTGTAGAATATAAAATAGCTCATGAAGTGTCAAACTTGTCTTAGAAGAAATGGAACCCAGATAGGGAAGGATAGTGAAACTTCTATGACATACTTTGGGCATGTTGTCAGGAGGGACCAGTCCTTGAAAAGGGTCACCACACTTGGAAAAGTTCAAGGTTAGTGAAAGATGTAGGGAAAAGTTCTGATCATAGGGTTGCTGTGAGTCATTGTCAATTCAAAGACATCCAACAATAGCAATCTGCCTCGCACTGCAATCCCAGAGGAACACGGTTCGAATCCACCAGATGCTCTGCCGGAGAAGGAGGCGCAATATCCTCCTGTACCAGTCAGATCTGATTTGACGGTACATGCACACAAAATAATAAAAAACTAAAAAAAAATAGCAATCTGCCTCATTAACACCACAGAGGTGAGGGTCTACAACACACAGGATGATTACATCAGCTCACCAGATGAAAGATAATTGCACAGCGCAAGGAATATAATCTAGCTAAGTTGACACATATTTTGGGGGGTAGTTGGGGGATATACAATTCAACTCACAAGTAACTATGAGTCAGAGTGGCCATGATGATGATGAGTTTAATCTTAGAGAGGCAGATTGCCAGGTCTTTCTTATGCAGGGCTTTTGAACGGATTCAATTCAACAGCCTTTTTCTTGCCAGAGAACAGTAAACAATTTGTGCCTCCCGGGGACTTGACTAGGCAGCAGTATTTCCTTCCTTTTTGTGTCTTTTCTTGATTAGTATCTTCGTGTCCCAGGTCTCCTTAACCTCTTGGGAGTTTCCTGGGAGAAGTGCTCAAGAAACGGGTCATTAAATTATGCATAATTACAGCATGGTGAGAGTTTCTGGGTAAGGCAGAGTCTTGATCAGAGACAGATACTTATCAAGTAATTACAAACCAGCAATTATTAACATGTCAGCACTTGGATTACTGAAATATTCCTATGGGAACCCACGAGAGGGAGTTGTCAGCTTTGACTGGGTAGGAATTGGGAAACATTTCCCAAAGGAGAGAGTATAAGAGTTTGCTCTTAAAGCAAAATGGAAAATAAAGAAAAGAAAAACTGAGGTTGGGAGGGGTTTTTTTTCCTCTCTTTAAGGAGTAGTAGAGAGAAGTATTCCAGAAAGAACAGCGAATATGATAAGATCAAGAAATAGTTCTTAATGTCTGCTTGCTTTTAATAGTATTCCGTCAGTAAAACATCTTTTGCTTTGTTTTTCAGAATTTATTTTTGTTCTGATTAGAGTGAAAGTTTGCAAAGCAAATTAGTATTTTATCCAACCACTCATGATGTGTATTTTGTTATACAACGTTAATTACAGTAAAATCAGGACTGTAGGAAGATTTCTCAACAATCTGCATTATGCAGATGACACAACTCTGCTTGCTGAAACTGAGGAGGACCTGAAGCGCTTGCTGCAGAGGGTCAAGGAAGGATTCTGAAGCTTCGTCTGACATACTTTGGGAATGCTGCAAGGAGGGACAACTGGTCCTTGGAGAGGGACGTCATGCTTGGGAGGGTGGAGGGACAGCACAAGAGAGGAAGACCCTCAATGAGATGGATTGATTCAGTCACTGGGCCAATGGAGGTAGGTATGTCAGAGACAGTGAGACTGGCACAGGATAGAGCAGGGTTTAGGGCTGTTGTACATAGGGTCACCATGAGTCACAGGCGACTCAACAGCACATAACAACAACTAAAAGTTCCATGGTTCAAACCCATCAGCCGCTTATCACTCTCACAGGAGGAAGATGTAGCAATTTGCTTCCTAAAAGATGGCTTGCTTGGAGGAACAAGATGCAAACCAACATGTCAGAATCTCCTAGACACCAGACTTTCTGGAGAAGGGCAAAGGGGAGTTGACTGAACCCCTAAAATTACTTCCCACAGCTTAATTGTTAAACTTTAAACCAAATACATATCATCTGAAGTCTTCTTAAAACTGAACAGTAGTTTAACCTGGAAAGCATGTTGCTACGAGCATTATGCTGGTTGAAGAACTATTTGTACGGCATCAGAGTGGCAGCCAAGACTCAAGAGGTTAGAGAGGAACCCCATGGGGAAAGGAGTTTGTGTGAAGAGGGGAGAAATGACTCAGGAAACAAAGGTGAGAATGGTCGCACACTAGAAGAAAGCAAACAACGTGGAGTTGCAGACACCTTTAAATGAGTCCACGTTTCACTGTGTATTCTCTCACTGACAACCCCATAATACTAAAAATTAGTGCCTTAGAAACCCTATGAGATAGTTCTATTCTGCCATGTAGTGACACTGTGAATCAGAATGATCTCAAACAGATTTTTATTTTTACATCTTATGCTTTTGGTAAAAGTTTAATAGTAATTCCATTTTTCCATTCATACACACATTGTTCTGTGGTGTTGCCTGCAGTGTCTGTAACACGTCAGCACTCCCCATTTCCACTCTGTTTTTCTCATTTTCATTCATCTGCCTTCTCTGTCCCTTCCCATGTCTATTCTTTGTTTCTGAGCACAAATTGTATTTTTTTGTAAAGAGCAATATTGTCACTTAAAAGACTAAGGTGTGCCTGATGCAAGCCATGGTATTTTCAATTGCTTCCTCTACATCTGAAAGTTGGACACTGACTAAGGGTGACAGCAGAGGAATCAGTGCCTTTGTTTTTTGTTTTTGGTTCCCATGTTTTATTCAGGGCTTATACAAAATATTCAAGAGAAATGAGTTTTAATCCTCATCTTCCTCCTCTTCTTCATCCTGGCTGATCTGCAAGTAACATAATTCATAACTTTCTTTGCTGTTAGCCTCTCGTAGATTATTCTTCTTCAAATATTTTTTGGTGAGATATTTCAAATACCGTTTGGAAAAAGGCACCTCAGAGGTTACAGTTATCTTGCTCTTGCTTCTTTCGATGGTTACAACCCCTCCTCCGAGATTACCAGCTTTTCCATTAACCTTGATTCTTTCCTGAAGAAACTGCTCAAAATTAGCAGCATCCGTGATTCCATCTTCTACTGGATGGGTACAGTCAAGGGTAAACTTCAGAACCTGCTTCTTTTTTTTACCCCCTTTCGCCACAGGCTTTTTCACAGGCGCCATGGTGGCAGCCGAATCAGTGCCTTTGGATTGTGCTGTTAGAGAATATGAATATCTCAGGGACGGCCAAAAGGACAAACAAATCTATCTTGGAGGAAGTGCAACCAGGGTGCTTCTTTGAGGCAAGGATTGTGAAACTCCATCTCATATTGTCAGGATGGGACAGTCCTTGAAAAAAGACCTCATACTAGGAAAAGTGGAGAGTCAGAGAAAGAGAGGAAGACCCCCCAACAAGATGGTCTGACATAGTGAATTGGGTTCAAGGATGTCAGAGATAGTGAGGACGGGACAGGGTAAGACAAGAGTTCTGTTCTTGTTCACAGGGTCACTATGGGTCATGGTCACTGGACGGCAC